GCTGGCCTTCAACTTACTAGGTATCCCAGGATGGCCTCAAAGGCTTGTCAATCCTGCCCAAGTGCTGGGAGTAGAGGCATGCAGCACCTCATCTGGCTTGTATTGGTTCATTTTTATTGCCAAGTAATATTGTACTGTATGGATATACAGTACCACAATTTGTTTACTCATTTATATTGATGGACATTTGTATTATTTCCACTTTTTACCTATTGTAGTAATCCAGTTATAAACACTTGTGTACACGTTAGTGGAAACTTCTGAGAATATACTTAGGAGAACTATTGGGTTACGTGGTAATTTTATATTTTTTTGTTTTGGCATGGTCTTACTTTGTAGTTCGGGCTGGCTCTGACTCACTATGTAGCCCAGGATGGACTCAACGTCATGTAGATCCTCCTGCCTCAGCCTCCCAAGTGCTAGGATTACAGGCATGCATCACCATGCCCAGCCACGCTTAATTTTTGGAAAAACTATCAAGCTGTTTTCCAAAGTGGCTGAACGATTTTAAATTCTCACCAGAAACACATGAGATTTTCCATTTGTCTACATCACTGTCAATACTAATTCTGTCTCCTGCCTTCTTGATCATAGCCATTCTAGTGGGTATGAGGTAGTATCTTATTTTGTTTTCAATTGGCACTTCCCTAATGATTAAGATGTTGAATGGGCTGGGGATTTACCTCAGTGTTGCTGCTGCCTGCCTCACAATTGCAAGGTCCCAAGTTCAATCCCTGGTACCAAAAAGAAAGAAGGTCATGCTGGGCGTGGAGGTGCATGCCTGTAATCCCAGCACTCGGGAGGCTGAGGTAGGAGGATCGCTGTGAGTTCGAGACCAGCCTGGGCTACATAGTTGAGTTCCAGGTCAGTTTCAACTACATAGTGAGACCCTGTTTCAAAACACCAGAAAAAAAAAAAAAGAAAAGAAAAGAAATGAAGTCTCTTCCAACTAAATATTCAGTTGCCTAAAATGTAAAATGTAGGTTTACATTATTATGAGAAAAATGAAAAAACAGAAAAGCACCTGGTGTAGAAGGCAGGAGTCAGACTATATCAGAGTTTATATTTGATTTTACATGCTGAGGGATTTTGCTGAATTTTCAGGTGTATACTGTCACCGATCCCCCAAGTGTCTCGGTGATGCAAAAAGAAGAGAGGCAAGATGTGAGGAGCAGGACCAGAGGACTGCAGCTCGCTCAGGCAAACAGCAGCCTCATGATCAAAACTGCAATATTTATTAAAGCTATTCACAGCATCAGACGAAAAGCACGTTTATAGCATTTTATCTTATATCTAAAGTTATATAATACTTTGGCCAGCTGTGTTTGCAAAAACAACTTTGTTTTTTACTTTGTCCTTCTAACCCCTTAAAAACATCTTCTACTTTGTCTACATCCTCTTGGGAGATTAACAGGGACAAACAAGAATTGCTTGCACTTCTTGTCCTGAGATGACTTGTCTGCCAGGCACTCAGATGTCCTTATGTTTCTTCCAAGGTGGATGCTCTTATGTCAAGTTCCATTACAGTATACTGAAGAGATAATGGTAACATTTTCTATTATTTCAATGTATTTTTTTTCTTCTGAAATTCCTTTTTTTTATTGCAGTACCAGGGATCCAACTCGGGACCTTGTGCTTGAAAGGCAGGTGGCAGTGCCACTAAGCTAAATCCCGGACCCTGAATGTATCTTTCTTCTAATTAGAAAAAACAAATGTTATTTCTTGAAAAGTAAAAATTAATAATCTACTTAATTCTATAGAGGGAAACTACAAGAACATAGAAATTCATGAGCTTAATTGCTGAGCCATTAAATATCCTTCCAGGAAAACTGCCCAGTGCTGGGAACTGTAACAGAGTTCACTGTGCAGCAGGATGAGGCACCTCAAGGTCCACTGAAGCAGGTGAAGGGAATATTCCTGAGGTCTCTTATCCATCCTAACTTCTCAAACTCCCACCTACAGTATAACTATGGCAGCCTCATTTCTGAATCTATTTTGTGTCGGGATCCAGATAAGATTAATTTATCTTTTATTTTTTTGAGACAGAATCTCTCTGTGTAGTTCAGGATTTGTCTTGAACTCACTATGTAGTATAGACTAGCCTTGAACTCATGATGATCCTCCTGCCTCAGCCTCCTCGGTGCTGGGATTACTGGCACACACGCCTGGCCCTTCTACATATGATTAAATCTGAGCGAAGCACTCTGTGTCACGAGTTTTAAAAGACAAAGAGAAAAAGTGAGAGGCTGGTAATACAGTAGAAAGAATACTGAGTTGGGGGCCATGATCCAAGTTTTATACTAATTGTTGTGTATGTACAGCCATGTAGAAGGCACAATTCTAATTATCAACTAAAAAATGATGGCTTTTATATTTGAATAAATTTTATTTTATCCCATTTCCCCCCTCATGCACCTTCCTCTTCCTATGTACAAAAGCCTTGTTTCCATTTTTTCCTTCTATTTTCACTTGTTTTCTTGTCTCTTCCTTCCTTTTCCCCTCCCTCCTCTCTTGTTCCCCTTCCCATTGGAACACTTCCCATTTCCCAACATCTATTATACATTTTGGTCCTTAGCTCCCCTTTCAGTTTCACACCAGAGAAACAATGTGGTATTTAAATGTGTGTATCCAACTTATTTCACTTAGTGTATGGTCCACCCATTTAGCTATAAATAGGATTGTTTTTTCTAATTCTGTGAGATACACTGCTGGGATATTGATTGGGATCGAATTGAACCTATATAACAGTTTTGGAAGTATGGTCATTTTCACAATATTGGTTCTTCCTATCCAAGAACAAGGGATATTTTTCCATTTTTTGACATCCTCTTCAATCTCCTTTTTCAGAGTACTATAGTTTTCAGTGTAAGGCCTTTTACTTCCTTTGTTAGATTGATTCCTAGGTATCTTATTGTTTTGGATGCTACTGTGAATGGGATTGTTTCTCTAATTTTCTTTCTCAGTGCGTCTTTTATTCATGGACAGGAAGACTACTGACTTTTAAGTGTTGACTTTGTATCTAGCTATGTCACTGAATTTGGTTATCAAATCTAAAAGGACTTTTGGGGATCTATGTAGAGTATCATGTCATCCACAAATAATAATTTCACTTCTTCCTTTCCTATCCTTATTCCTTTCATTTCTTTCGTCTAATTGTTCTGGCTAGTGTTTCCATAACCATATTGAACAAGAGTGGTGACACTGGACATCCTTCTCTTGTTCCTGATTTTAGAATGAAAGCTTTCAGTTTTTGATCGTTTAGTATGATGTTGGCTATTGATTTGTCATAGATGGCTTTTACCAGATTGAGGTAAAGACCATCTATACAAAATTTCTGTAGGGGTTTTATCATGAATGGGTGTTGGACCTTGTCAAATGCTTTTACTGTATCTATTGAGAGGATCATGTAGTTTTCGTCCTTGGCTCTGTTAACATAGTATATTATGTTTATTGATTTGCAAAAAAAATTATTGCTTTTAAATATGAATGTTAATGCCTTTTATCCAATAAATGTTGTATATATTAAGTATTACGTTATTCATATATCCATGGTAAAGTAACAGCAAGGAAGGGGAGTAAAGAACATGCTCAGGATATCCGCAAAGTCTCCAGAGAGGTATGACAAGCAGGGTCTCAAAGTATGAGTGGAAGTCTACCAATTGAATAAAAAGGAAAAAACATAGCTGTTGTGATGGTACAGTATGCAGAGTACTATAATCCCAGTATCCTGTATGGTGAGGCAGAATTACTGCAAGTTTAAGGCCAGCCTGGGCTACAAAGTGAATTCAAGGCCAACCTGAACTACATAGTGAGACTTTGCTCAAAAAAAGAAGAAAAAGAAGAAAGAAACCACCAATAACAACAGAAATAACAAAGAAAGAAAAAATGAAGCCAGGTGAATGGAATACCCCCTTGTAAGCTCCGCTCCTTCAGAGACTGAGGCATCATAAGATCTAGTTCAGCCTAGGCAATTTAGCAAGATCCTGTCTCAAAATAAAAAGGGCTCAGGATACAGCTCAGTGTGAAAAGTGCTTGTTTAATATAGGCAACACCCTGGGTTCAATCAATTACCAGTACTACAAAATACATACATACACACACACACACACACACACACACAATTTTTGTTTGTTTGTTCCAGGGATCAAACTTGGGACCTTGTGTTTGAGGCAGGCGGTGGAACCACTGAGCTAAATCCCCGGCCCCAAAATAAATATTTTAAAAGGAAAGTTTAATGGATCGAGAACCACAGGTTAGAAAATATGAAATTAATAATAAATGGCTAACACTGAATGAATTCTTGTCCTATGCACATAATGTAATCCTCACAACCACCCGTGGAGGTAGAGTTTATCATTCCCACACAAAAAAGCTCTGGGTTTTACTAGGTACACATACTTAGGAGGTGTGAACAGAATGGGACTACTGGAAAAAGGAAGTGGTGAGCCATCGGGCTGGAAACCCACTTTCGCTCAGGTGGCAACTGGGCCAGAGTTGGGCAGGGATTGGAGGTCACGAATAATCGCATAATTTCAAAAAAGTGTAGTCATCTATCTCAGCTCCGTCCACTGAAGCAGGCGGCAGAACCACTGAGCTAAATCCCCGGCCCTTCAGTCCATCGAGAAGGCCTGAAACACTGAAACACCAATATGTATTCAATTGTGGGTCAGGCTCCAGATTCGTTCCCCGGCCTCCCGGAAGGTTTCTCTACCACATTCCACTGCCACCTTGCGGCAGACCCGGTGTCCTTCACCTGCCTGCGTCTTCGGCAGTCTTTGAAGCCGCGCCCTTAACTCCTGCGACACTTTAGAAAGAAAACCGCAGCGATTTAGACGCCGGCCGCCATTAAACCAAGCCGAAGTCTGGGAAAAGGAAGTGAAGAACACTGGGACGGAACAACCGTGACGGACAACCTGAAGCCATTTCTTATTGGGCTTTATCGGGGCTAGTTACCGCCTCCTAACTCTATCCCGCCCCTTCCGCCGTAGCCTTCCGCCAAATAAGGGCGGAGCGGGGCGGTAACTTCCGGGTGAGGAAAAAAGTTGAGCCGGACTGGCGGTGAAGAGGGAGGAGGAGGAAGCGGCAAAGGCCGGGCGGCAACGGCTGTTGTAGGTTGTGAGACTGCAGCGGCTCTTCCCGGACGGACCATGGACAGCCAGGGCAGAAAGGTGGTGGTGTGCGATAACGGCACCGGGGTAAGCGCCTGGCGAGAAGGTCGTGGTGGCCACAGGCCCGGGCGGAGATGTGCTGGGGACGCGCGGGCCCTTGGCGCCCGGGGCTGCACGTCTGGGCCCTCCGGATGAAGGGGCTCGGGGCG